ATTTTTCATCATTTTTCCTTTCCCTTCTTTCCTTTCCCCTGCCCCTCCCACTACCCCTACCCCTTTGGACCTTTTCTTCCTATTTTACATTACCGATTAGAATCTACATTGTTGATGGCCCAAAGTGGCCCCTACTTGGGAGCTGTATTTTTCTGATTTTTCCCTCCTTCCTTCCTTCCTTCCTCTCTTTCCTTTCTTGCCATTTTCCTCAGATGTGTTACTTTGTATTTACCATGTTTATGCAACATTAGCTAAATGTGTATTTTTAGTATAAAAAGTGAATTATAGTGGTTAACAAATAGAACAGATTTTTATAAGTTGGATTTATAAGTAGTGAGTCTTTTTTATGAAATAATTCAGTCTTCCTAAATTATTCTTATGTCTCCTTAACAAGTGTATTACCTACAAATAATTCTTTGTAGTATTATTAAAACTTATTTATTATGCCTATTGATTATTTAAATTATAAGAATCCTACATTATTCTGTATATTTTCCACAGTGATTCTTTTCTTGCACACCGAGAAAGTATGCAGCAGATGATGAAAAGTTTTTCTGAACCTTTTGGAAGAGACTTGCTCAGTATCTCTGATGGAAGACGAAGAACTCGTAATCATACAAGACATGACAATGGTGAAGATTCTGTGACTGTAAGTTCTTTATTTTAAAGACATTTAGTGAGAAATTGCTATAGGAATTTGAGAAAAATATTACAGAAATGGATTTGATAATAGGATATGACTAATATTTGTGATACAGAAATATCTATCACCTAGAGAAGGAGACCTGTTGAAAAATAGAATCCTAGAATAATGAGTTATTATTTATATAAAAATTCCACTGGCCTAGGACCTTAGGACCATAGAATTATATATTATAACCAAAATTTAAACCATTATTTTCATATATTTTCACATTATAACTTTCTCTCATGTCTTGAATTAGAACACAGAAGTAAATTTCTTTCCTGATCCCACATACTTCTTTGTTAGTGAGAAGGAAAAGGAAAGTTGAAGGGAAGGGAAGGGAAAGGGAAGAAAAAGAATTAAGATATGTACAGGTACAAATTCCCTATGATGAATGTGATCATTATATATGGCAAATATTTACTAATAAATAAAATAAAAAATATTTTAAAATAGTACTGAAATCTGTAGTTTAATGCTTTGTTGGACTAGGAAACACTGATCTTCTGCATAGATACCTTAGACCTTCAAAGTTTAGATTAATCCTCAATTATGGCCCAGAAGCCTTGCACAACTGTAGTATATTCTTATAAGTCTTATCTGAGAGCAAATCTGGAAGTTTATAAACATATTCAACTAAAAAACATGTTTATATATCTTATTCATTTTCTTTTTTGTTGTTGTTGTTTGGCTTTTTGTTTCTATTGCCTTTTCAGCCTCAGGAATGGCAGTTCTGTAATAACAAATCCACCGGCTTTCTATAAAGATGAATATCTGGAGTTGAAATGTAGATGTTGGAACTTAGTACACACTGAATCAGTCAAGTAGTAGTAGGCTTCCAAAATCTTCCAGAAAAGCATTTTCATATTTTCTCTTTGTAGTAAGCATAACCAAAGTAAAATATCTTAGATATTTCTAAGAAGTTTGATAAGTGCAATTAATTTGCCACTTAAAATGAATCTTTACATCTTTTTCATATATATTATTGCCAAGCAGTATATTCACATTCAAATTAGCTTTTTAAAATTATTGAATAGTAGTATCATCATATATACTTTTAGTGCTGATCAGTTTCCTCAACAGTTTAAAGTTAATATCACCCAGAGATTTGGCTCAGTGGTGCTGCTGCCTACCTCACAAGTGCAAGGTCCCAAGTTCAATCCCCGGTACCATAAATAAATAAATAAATAAATAAATAAATAAAATAAAGTTAATATCAGAGGAATATTGTCAAATAGAGCAGAAAATGAATTATGAGCATTAAAATAATTTGAGTATTAAAATATTTTGGATATCTACTTTAAACATAGCAAGGAAAGAGTAGGGTTATATATAGTTTTTATATTTATGTATATAAATGAGCTACTTATAGCTTTTGTGGAATAAGCAAGAAGTGACAGTTTTATTCCCTTGCTTCTAAAGTATAGAAATGAGACCTGTTTGTAATTCAGCCCAAAATTTCTTATTGAGGCTGCCTGAACACATTATCTATAACTATGCTGGTCATCCACTGAAAGCAGAAGTAAATGTTTCTTTCCTGTATACTTCTGAAATGTTTAATAAGAGGTAGAATAAAATATATAGCCAAATAGAGAAATTGCTGTGAAACTTTAGTGTATAAGATTCATAATTTAGAACTTTATATTTTCCAATGTGTCATATTATATTTAAATCAAGAAGAAAACATGAAGAAATAATATGATTGCATAAATGTGATGATGTGTTAAGAAAAGTCAAATAGGAAAACAATTCTAAATACAAAAGAAGACCAAGAATAACATTGGAATGAAAAATGAAAATAATTGCTCCCTTGTTCTCACACTTGGGCTATAATAACAAAATACCTTAGATTGCATAACTTATAAACAATAAAAGTTTGTCTCACACTTCTGGAGGCTGGAATTTTCAAGATCAAGGTGCTGGCAGATTCTCTATGTAGTGAGGGCTTGCTCTCTGATACATGGGTGGCATCTCCTTGCTGTGTCCTCACAGGGTAGAAGTGGCAAACACACTCCTTTAGTCCTCTTTTATAAACAGTTTATCCCGATCATGAAGTTTCAACATGGAATATATCTCATGCTGACTCATCATAGGAAGATAGGTTTTGTTGTTTGATGAACCATCATTCTTTGATAATTTGGAAAAGATGACAAGGATATTAGCAAGTCTTTGACACTTAACCCTCATTATATACCCATGTCAAACAAGCAGGGGTCAAAAATTAAAAGAATATTGGTGAATGGCTCAAAAAGTGGTAAAAGTCAGGCAAAATTAAGCAGCATTTGTCTTAAGCCTTTTATCTTTAATACTAACTTTGATTTGTTTTGGGGCATTTACCTAAATAGGACTGGTGGAGTTTAAGAGCATATGGACTCATCCTTGTTTTGTTAATAAGAAATCCAAGCCAGGCATGGTGGTGTACACCTGTAATCCCAGCACTAAGGAGGCAGGAGGATTTCCATGAGTTCAAGGCCAGCCTGGGCTACATTGTGAGTTTAAGGTCAACCTAGACTACATAGTGTGACCCTGTCTCAAAAAAAAAAAAACCCAAAAAGAAGCAATCTAATTTTCTCCTATTTAATTATAACAATGTCCAAAGAATACAATAAATAAAGATATGTTACTATGTAACCATTTATGAATTGGTCTTTAAGAAGTATTAAATATTTATCCAATAAACTTACCAATCTTTGTGAATTTTGTTAATGTAGATAAAAATTTTATCTTTAATTGTTTAAAGACAAGATTAATGGATCTTTTAAAAATCCTTTTCTTTCCTTGAACAAAGGAAAGATGATTTAATCTTAATCATCATACCTGATGTTTTAATTAATTTTGGTATAAGTTTGCATTTCCTTTGAAAAATGTTTATGTTAATCTATAGCAAATACTTTTTCTTTCTACTGCCCTACTAGAGTAGTCATATTTTCAAGTAGTATATGGCTTCCCTATTTGCATGTCGGGCTTCTGTCAAGTTCTAAAATGAATAAAAGCAGATACAGTAACTTCAAAAATATACATTGAGACTTTTTGATTAAAGGGGTCTGTAATATTGGTATTTCTGAAATGTGTACTTATATGGTATATTTTTATATTTTTCAGGGATTATTATATAATAAGTAACCAAAATTAATTGGATATCTTTCTAGGCAACAAGCTTTTCTCTTGCGCCTTTCGGCAGTTTTGGTGGCATGGTTCGTATCATAAGACACAAGCAATATTTTCTGATGAATGTTCACTGTTCATGAACTGAAGCAGACTGAATTGGCATGCATTTTATTAACTTTCATTAATGGCTTTTTAGTATTTGTACTGAAAACCTCTCTTTTATGTTTTAAACTTAGAGTGTTTAGGCTTGTGTTTTCTGAAGTAAGTCACATAAAATATAAAAAGTTAATCTTCAAAAATAAAAAATAGATTCTGGTAGATAAATATGTGTGGATTTGCAAAGATAATCCCCATAGTTGTATTTGAAAGTTGAGGACTTCCACGTGCCTTTGACAGCTCTCCAAGAGGTGAAAAGCACATTGAAAAGCACGGATTGGCAGCTTTGTTTAGTTCTTTGTTGCCAGCATGTCCATGCTGCCTTTATTGCTCATATACAAATAAGGCTGCTTTGCAATAGTCATTTCTCCCATCCCTGTTTCTCTGGGCTTTGGTCCTGTGTTTATGTTACTAGTTTCCAGTCCACCCAAAAGCATCTAATGAGCAGTAGAGAACAGCAAGACTTTGGGGCATTTGTATTTATACTGTCGTGAAAAGTTTCTTTATATTCTTTCATGCTGTATTTGAACTCTTCCTCACTCTGAAGTTTAATATATATTTGTCCTTTATGACCAGAATTTGTTGGGGGGAGGAGTAAAATGATCAGAAAATTCAGTGTGCTGGGGAGCACAGATAGAAACAAGGCATTTAACTTAGACCTTTTGAGGTAATTTGGGCTAGGGTAGGGTCAAGTAGAGAAGACTTCACAAATCTTAAAGATTAGTGAGAGCTAGGAAAAGCCAGATGGAGAAAGAAAGAGTGTGTGCAACACAGAGAAACAGCATATAGAAAGACCCAGAGCCAAGGGAAGTAAAAGATATTTAGGATCACTTGACCCTAGTTAATAGAGATGAAGGCTAAGAGGTAACCAGAGACTTCTTCAAGCCATAATGAAGAGTATGCACATTATCTTAAGAGCAGGAGAAGCAGGTGATGGACTTTGTCACTAATGTGGTAACAGATTCATATTCTCATGTTTTAAAGATCATTGTGTCTGTAGGGAAGAAAAAGAAGGGACTACAATGGAAGCAAGGAGGTCAAGAGGCTGTTGAAAGCATTCTGTATAAAGTATTAGTAATAGCTTGTACTTGGTAATGGCCATGGTTATAGAGAAAAAAATATCTCATTTGAAAGAGAGATGAGTGGCTAGAATTTGGTGATTAATTGGGTTGAAGGAGCAATAGAAAGGTAGAAAGGAAATATAATGCCTGTTTTTCTGCAGGAGATATTAGGTAGATGAGAATACTACTGAGCTAAAGTACAGAAAGCAGTAATTCCATGGAGGTATGAAAGTGCAGATTGTCAAAACAATCATTTCAGTTTGGAGTGTTTTACTTTTCAGACATCTGTGGATTGTCTAGGTAAAGAGTTGGCTATGTGGGTTTGAATTGAGCTAGAGATTTTTTTTTGCTGTGCCTCTTCATGGCAGTTAAGCAGTTTACTACTGAGCTACATCTTTGTGTACTCAGAGATGTATCAGTATCTCCTCCTATGTGCCTTTGTTATTCCCTACTATATTGAGTGCAGATTCTAAAGAGAAATTTGGTTTTTTTCCATTTTACTAGCAGTAAAAACATAATGAGGCAGAGATAAGCCTTTGATAGTTCTTTATCAAGGTCAAGCTTGATTCACAGCCAAAGAATCTCTAGGGAGACTGAAATACCAGCATGGAACCACAGGATACAGAAGGCTCCTCCTTGAGCAGAGGAAGGAGCTCTTCTAACCAAGAAGCTCCCATTGTTTTGTAATAGTAGGTGATGCATCAGGAAACACACTAGAGTATAGCCTAACCTTTATTTTTTGGTGAGTATTCCAGTGAAAAAAAATCTAAGATCAATAGCAGATTTTTCTAGAGCAAGGTGTTTCAACCTTTAGCACTACTAACATTTTGGACCAGATACTTTTTTGTTCTGGGAGCTGTCTTGTGCATTTCACAGCATCCCAGGCTTCCACCAAGTAGATGGCAATCATACACCTTTCTCACCTTTCTAACCCCCCAGAGTAAATATAGTTATTGCCAAATGTCCCTTGGACATCAAAATCAATCTTGCTTGAGAAACCAGGGAAATTCTTACTGTTCTTCTTAAAGGGCATACCTCATGCTTTGAGGGTGTGGCCTACTGATCCTTCAGTAGGCAGCAAACTGAAGGTGTATTGGTACAGTGGATTGATCTCTTTCACTTGGACCCTAAGTAGTGAGACGAGGACTGGCTACTTGAGAGGCAGCTTCTATCAGCCATGTGATACTGGTGGAGGTACTCAAGTTTTACTTATTTGCATGATGGGATATTGAGAGGAAAGAAGGAAGAATTTAAAAGCTATCTTATGCTAGTACTGTTCCAGCCCCAAAATATTGCCATTCAGTATTTAATATTATCAAAATTATTTAAGAATGCTGACAAATGATATATGTATGTATATTCATATTTACATGCATTTATAAATGTGTGATATAATTTATAGTTTTAGGGTGCCCTAAGTTCCCTAATCATTTGTGCTGGCTGCTTGGGATTTTGCATCTGCTTCAATTTTTCCTTTAACAAATTACTCTCATTGGATAGTCCTTAAATTATTTCTGCCTGGTTGATTGGTGCATAAGATCCAACGTAATGAATTGGGAAAAATTTGTTTCAGCTGTTTTGGGAATATTGACTTGCTCTTTTGTGTTGTACTTGTAGTTAATACCATTACTTCCTAATATTCTATAGCATACAGATGTCAGCCCTTTTCAGGCAATGGACCGAATGATGTTAAATATGCGAAACGGTATGCAGGAATTACAAAGAAACTTTGTAAGTACTAAATATAAGGTGATGAGAATATTGTTTTCAGTTATTGGTACCCTGTTATAGTGACTTTCAAACTATAGTCCATAACCAAAAAACAAATCTTACATGAGTAACCTTTACATAGCAGTTGTACACTCTATATAAGAAACAAAGTTTTCATGAAAAAATGAATATACTACTTACAGTATGTGCCAATAGTTTCTATTTTACCGCATGTTTTAAAAATCCTGGTCACTGGGGCCGGGGATTTAGCTCAGTGGTTTTGCCTCTTGCTGTGTAAGCACGAGGACCCAAGTTCAATCCCCTGTACCAAAAAAAAAAAAAAAAAAAAAAAAAAAAAAAGAAAAAAGAAAAAAGAATCCTAGTCATATCCTACTAAATTTACTTCAAAACCTACAATTCTGAAAAATAACATTGGTTAATGTTCACAATTTTTTAAATTCAGCCTTTAAAAACATTTGTTCTGCTGAGTTGCTCTTGTAAATGGACATTTTATATGAATATTCATGTTTTCATTATTTATAACCTGTTTACTTAAAAGGATTTGTAGCACCTAAGACATTACATTTTACTAAAACTCTGAAAACAAATTTCAGGAATAATGTTTAGGTAGTAGATTAGATCCATACAATCCAAATACTGTACTTATAAGCTAGTACTAATACTCATACTTTCCTACTCATAGTAAAATAAAAATAACAATTTAAATCATTTAGTTATCCAGTTTGGATTTTATGAATCATTTCAGAATGCTCAAATGAAACTTCTTGGAACATAGCTGATCAACTCAACATTGACAATATTGTACGTAAGAATCAACCACAGACTGTGGAAGTATCACAGGTTTTAAGGGCATAGCAACTTTATTTAAATATAAGGCACAAAGACTTAAAGAATATCTGAGCAGATCACTTGTTATATTTTACAAAGGGTGGAAATTTGTATCAAAAGTGAAGTAGGCTATGGAGGTGACAGTTGGATAAAGTGTATTGGTAGAATGCTATTCTTAGTAGAACAGATAGCTAGTTTTGTTACTTTGACTCCTTTGGCATTAATTCTTTGTATTTGATCTGACCCTGAGTTTATAATATCTTTATGCCTGTAGGATCACCTTTCAGTAGATCCAAATGGACATTCATTTTGTTCTTCCTCAGTTATGACTTACTCCAAAACAGGAGATGAACCACCAAAGGTTTTCCAGGCCTCAACTCAAACCCGTAGGGCTCCAGGAGGAGTAAGTATTTTACAGTCATTCTTAGAGGTTTATAAAGTTGTGGGGTAATAGATTCCCTACATAAAATATGAATTACTAAATTGATTTGGTAAAGAGTGGAAAGATGGGGACAGAGACATGGTAGTAAGTAAGGCATTCATCACTGGGAAAACCATTAAAGTTCAATTGTATTTAGTATATAGCATTTTGTTTGTCCTCTCTGCCCCCATCTCTGTGAGGATGACTTTTATGTAATTATCCATTGATTATTTTCATCTTCACATACTGACAAGATAATAATAATAGGAAACCCTTGTTTCATGAAGTAACCTACCTATAGTTAACTTGTTAACTAAATGAAATGTTTCAAGTGTACAGAAAGGATATATAATGAATATCCATATCCCTGCCACCCAGTATAGTCAAATCATAACATTTTTCTCTATTTGTTTCAAGTTGTCTCTTGTTTTGTTTTCTTTTTAAGCAAAAATATTACAGATACAATTAAAGCTCCTGCTGTACTCCTTCCAGGTCCCTTTTCTGTTTCTCAACCATTTTCCTGTGTCTGAAGTTTATCATTATTATGCATATTTTAATAATTTTACTATTTATATACACATCATAAAACATAATGGACTATTTCTTTAGGACTCTGAACTTTATATGAATGGTATTATTATTGCATATGTCCTTGCAGCTTATCCTTGCTCAGCAATATGCTTCTGAGATTTATTCAAGTTGATACATATAGTCCTGGTTTCTCTGATTTAACTTCTATATATTACTCAAAATATAAACAAAGCACAAATTTGTATCCATTTTTCTGTTGATAGATATGTAAGTGTATCTAATTTTGCACTAATTCATCCTTATACAGGTCTCTTGTAAAAGATCTAAGAATGGTATTGCTGGGTTATAGGGTATGTGCACATTCATCTTTATCTAGAAATTACCAGGTTACCACAGTGATTAAAACTGTTGGCTTCTACAAATTGTGGTGTGAGTATTCCCATTCCTCCATTTCCTTATTAGGACTTACAGTAAAATTTTAGGTTTTCTACACTAAGGAATCTGATTTAATTTTTTAGTTCCCACATATAAGCACATACCTTTAACAATACCCTTGCCATAGTTCTGCAAATTCATCATAGACATTTTAATCTTGACTTGCTAAAAATGACAGTCTTATATAAATGATATAATTAAAGATCTCTCAAAATGTTAATCTTTTGAAATCATAAATATTCTAATAATGCTTCATAGAGTTCATGGGGGGAATGATGAGATTCAAGCCATCAACATGATTGATGAGTAGTTGCCATTACTTGTAGGAATGTAGCATCCACTTCCATCTATTACCTTGTCAAAGACAGTGTTAAAGGCACTGAGTTTTATATAATTAACTCCTTCTTTATTTAATATTTTATTATAATTTGGAAAAAGGTTAAATTGTATTCATTATGTTTGTCCTAGACATTTTTATTTTAAACATTTCAAAAAATATCAGAGACCTATTACCACAATTTTACTGTAAGCTGATAATAGAATTGAGTATAGTTACTCTTTTTTTTTTTAATGTGGTACTAGGGATAGAAATGTGGAGCCTTCACATTGAGCTATATCCCCAGCTCTTTTTTTTATTTTAAGATAGGATCTCTCTAAATTACAAGTTGGCCAGGAGGGACTTGATCTTGTGATCCTCCTGCCTCAGCCTCCCAGAGTGCTGATATTACAGGTCTGTGCCACAACACCCAGCTAGTTACTCATTATTTTTAGAGGGTTAGATCTATGGCATTACTTTATTAAGTGACAGAACTCTAAGAAATTTAGAACTAAGTCAATTTATATATAATTTTTATTTTATTTTTACAGATAAAAGAAACCAGGAGAGCAATGAGAGATTCTGACAGTGGACTAGAAAAAATGGCTGTTGGTCATCATATCCATGACCGAGCTCATGTTATTAAAAAGTCAAAGAACAAGAAGACTGGAGACGAAGAGGTCAATCAAGAGTTCATCAATATGAGTGAAAGTAAGTTATTACAAAAGTATTCTTTCCTATAAAGTTAAGCTATCAGCTGCATTTGTAGAACTTGATTAATTTTCTTACAGAAACATTTCATAAGATGTAGGTTATGAGGAATATGTATGAGGAAAGCTCTGTCAAAGTAATAAAATTGTGGTTTAATCATTTAACAATGATGTTTTTACAGTGTTTTTTGGCAATGTGGGGTATCATTTATTTTCTTGTTTTATGCTTAGAAAATAGAATTTTTGCATTGTTATTTAGTAATATTACCAATAGGTAAAATGAGTTCTTAAGTATTTTTTATCAAGGGAGTATATTTGAAAAATATGAAGAAAATAAAAATCATCTATAATGCCAACTCCAAATAAATACTATTATTGGGTTAGTGTGTTTATTCTTAATAGTTTTATGTATGTGTAAACACATAATTTTTTTCAAATTAGTGTTTATATATAGTTTATAGTGTACTTATTTTAATTCACCATTCTAATTGTAAAAATCACCCATCATATTATTTTTTAAAAAACATCATAACTGATAACCTAAATGTTATATCATGAATAGGTTATAATTTAGTTAAACCATTTTGTAGTTTGAAAACTTGGATTTTTGTATAGTTTTTAATTCCTGGTGTATCCTAGATAATATATATCTTATCAAGTAAGTCTTTCATTTTCTAGATTTACATTCATTCTTCAATGCTTTTAGGGCTTTCTAATGTCCTAACCCTTCTCATTATAGTTTTAAGAATACTAAAATATATTAACAATTTAAATCAAATTTTATTAATTTTATTTTAATAGTAATATTCAATTATTTGTATTTTAATTTAAAAGTGAAATTATATTGAAATGTAGGCACACTCATCTATTTTAAGAATCTATTTTGAGTAATGCTTTATCAGAGTAAAAGGTTTAAATTTCTATATTATTTTAGAAAAAGAAATTCTACCGAAGTAGGTTTGATAAAATTATTCTTATGCAATAAGATGGAAGCCACAATATCTTGACCTTTCTTTAATTGTAATGTTATAATTTTATAATCTAAATTTATATTGACTGTTTCACAATAAGTAACATGTTGGAGAAAACTTTAGTTTAGGAGTACATTATGATAAGGGTAATGTGAAAGAACAGAAGCTATCATCTATGTATCATTGCTGTTATGGAAGTTAGATTGCTTACTTCCATAACACCATAAACTGGCAGTCAAATTGATAACTCGTCTTTGGAAATTGACAACAGAACTCATGAGGTCAAGTTAAACAGGAGGATGATGAGGTGAATAGGGATGCTAGCCACAGAAAGAGCGTCCCAGTACAGGAACACCACTGTCAGATGATTCAGAGACAAACTGTGATTGAGTGTAATTGGGTCAGCCAGTCCATTGGGTAGAATAAAATGATAGCCAGACAGGTGAGTGAAAAACCAGATCATCCGTAGGAGTAGGGGAACAATAGGAAAGGGAATATTATCCTAACCAAAGACCTTTGTATTTGAAATAGCTTCCTGCCTCTGTCTTAAAGGTAAGCTAATGAAAACACCAGGCCAGCATGGAGTGGGGGGAAGCAAAGCACTTACTGACAGTTGATACCTAAGTATATATTCTCTTTATTTTTATATTTAATGTAGGTGATGCTCACGCATTTGATGATGAGTGGCAAAATGAGATTCTGAAGTACAAGCCAGGGAGACAATGGCACAATCTAGAAAACGCTAGAATGCAAAGTGTTGGTCATGAGAATTCTGGAACCAGAGAACTTAAAAAAAGGTAAAAGTTATTTCTAAACAGTATGTTTAAAGAAGACTTAGAAGATATGTTATGCTATGTAATATCTCTGTTGAGGGTACACATATTTCATGTGTATTAGATATTTTGGAAAAATTTTGCAAAAGCTTTAGCTTCCCTTGAAATAGCTAAGGAAAATAAATGTCTTGAAACCATATATTAAAATAAAGGATCATTATACATTTAATACTATTCTGGAATTATAAATTAATTTTGTTCTCTGATAAAAATGGAAAACAATAACTATTCCTATTGAAATTATTCTCCAGAGAGACACAGGCCTAGCCAGGACTTAAAACAGAAATCTGTTATAGGATATAAGAAACTGGAGGGTTGCAAAAGAAGATAGAGACCATTACAGAAGCATTGATAAGTGGGTATCAAGTAAATCAGAAGTCTGTTCAGAATTTCATGTGCTAACATCTTTTATTTGTTGTGTTTTGAGTCCTTCAGGAGAACCATTTTTACTGGGATAACATGGAATCTTGCTGTTGTTTTGATTTGTATTTCCCTAATGGCCAAAGGTGCTAAACATTTTTCATATATCTATTAGCCACTTGTGCCTCTTCTTCTATTTTTGAATGATCTTCTGTTTTAGGGGGCACCCAATTTTTTATGTGTTATTTTTATATATTCTAGATATTAGTCCTCTCTGAAGAGTAGCTGGCAAAAAATTTTTCCCATTCTGTAGATTGTCTCTTCACTATGTTGATTGTTTCCTTTGCTGTGCAGAAACTTAAATTTGATATAATCCCATTTGTTGTTCTTGGAATTATTTCTTGTGCAATTGGGATTTTGTTCAGGAAGTTCTTGCCTGTGCCCGTGAGTATAGCACACCCATGATCCAGTCATTTCCCACAAGCCCCACCTCTGAACACAGGAGGCTTTTGGAGAACAGTCTAGATCTAAACCCTAACACCTAGTTTTGGTATTGGGTAATGCTAGCATCAAGGAATGAATTTGGCAGTGTTCTTTTTCTTTCAATTTTATAAGAGTTTGAGAAGTATTGGCATTAGTTTTTCTCTGAAGTTCTGGCAAATTTCAGCAATGAATCCATCAGATCCTGGGCTTTTCCTAGTTGCTAGAGTTTTATTACTGCCTCAAATTCATCACCTATAATCAGTCTGCTCAGGACTTTTATATCTTCTTAGTTCAACTTTGGTAAGTCATGTGTCTAGAAATTTATCCATTTCTTTTAGATTCTTCAGTTCATTGGACTATAAGTTTTGAAAATAGTTTCTTATAATCCTCTGGATTTCAGCAATGTCCATTGTGAGTTTTTGTCTTTTCATTTCTAATTGCATTGAAATAGATCTTTTCTTCCTTTGCTAAGTCTGGCTAAAGGTTCACTGATCTTATTTATACTTTGAAAGAAGCTATTTTGTGATTCATTGATCTTGTATTATTTAGTCTCCACTTTATTGATATCTGCTCTGATCTTTATAATTACTTTCTATAGGTTTGAGGTTTGGATTGCTTTTGCTTTTCTAGGACCTTGAAATGCATCAACATTAGATTATTTATTCAATAATATTCTACTTTTCTAATGTAGAGCAAAACTTCCCTCTTAGAACTCCTTTATTGTGTTCCACAGGTTTTGGTGTATTGTACTTCAATTGTCACTGGAGTCTAGGAATTTTTCAATTTCTTCCCTGATTTCTTCTGTAACCCATTGATTATTCCGGAAAGTATCATTTAATTTTCATGTGTTTGTGAAATTTCTGTGGTTTCTTGTACTGTGGATTTCTAGTTTCATTCCATTGTGATATGATAGGTTGCAAGAGGTTATTTCAGTTCTTTTGTATTTATTTAAATATACTTTATAACCGAAGATACTCTATTTTGGAGAAAGTTCCATGGGCTGCTGAGAAGAATATTATAACACTGCTTTTAGATAAAGCATTCTATAGATATCAGGTCCTTTTGTTCAGTAGCATGGTTCAACTCTGATATTTCTTTGTTGAATTTTTCTTGGTTCACCTATTTATGAGAACTATTAAACTCCCACACTGTAATTGTATTGGTGTCTATCCTTTTAAATAATGAAGTTTTTATTTTATGCAATTAAGTATGCTGACATTTAGTGCATATATATTTATAATTATTATCTCTTCCTATTGAATTGTACCCACTACCAATTGTACCCAATACCAGACCTTCTTTGTCTCTTCTAATCAGTTTTGGCTTGAAGTCCACTTTGTCTGATATTAGGATAGTTACTCTTACTTGCTTTTGGGCACTAGTTTGCTTGGAGTATTTTACATCTTTCACTTCAAGTCTGTATTTCTTTATGGTGAAGTATGTTTCTCTTTTTTTTGGTACTGGGGATCAAACTCGGGACCTTGCTCTTGCAAGGCAGGTGACGGAACCACTGAGCTAAATCCCTGGCCCATGAGGTATGTTTCTTGTAGGCAACACATAGTTCGGTTTTGTCTTTTGAATGAGTCTGCCAGTCTGTGTTTTTTTGATTAGGGGAATTAAGATCATTAACAGGGAGCATTATTATTGACAAGTTTTTACTAGTTCTGTCATTATAGTATTTTTTCAATGCTGATTTTTTTCTTTTTGTTTAACTACTCTTTTAGAAGTATTCTTTCCTTTGGGCTATTTGGTGATGTTGCACTCACTATTTCCATTTAGAATTCCCTTGAGTGTTTTCTGCAGTGCTAGTTTGGTGGCCATGAATTTTTTTTATTAATATATCTTCACAGTACATAATGATCACATTCCTCATGGGGAGTTGGTACATGTACATGATACTTCTTAATTCTTTTTTCACTTCCACTCCCCTTTTCCTTCCTCCCTCCCTCCATCTCTTGGTCCTCTTCTCTTTTGCAAAAGATCTATCTCCCTATTTCTTATCTTCTATCGTTCATGTTGTCCTTTATATTTTGGGTTTCTGTATATTTAAACGTGTGTCTGATTTATTTTACTTACCATTGTGGTCTCGATGCATCTGGGTTTTTTAACAAATAACTCGTTTATTCTTCTTTATGGCAGTGTAGTAGTCTGCTGTTTATAAATATCACATTTTCTATATTCATTCATCTATTGATGGACATATATCCTACTTCCAAGATTTACCTATTATGAATTGTGCTGCTCTAAACATGGATATGCCTGTATCACTGTAATATGATACCTTTAACTCTTTTAGAAAGATACCCAGATGATGTATAGTTGAGTCAAATGCCATTTTTAGTTTTAGTTTTTTTGAGAAATCTTCAAGCTGGGCATGATGACACACACCTGTAATCCCAGAACTAGGGAAGCTGAAGCAGGAGGATTACTATGAGTTCAAAACTAGCCTGGACTACATAGTGAGTTCAAAGCCAGCCTGAACTACATAACAAGACCTTGTCTCAAAAGAGAGAGAGAGAGAGAGAGAGAGAGAGAGAGAGAGAGATCTCCATACTGATTTCCATAGTGGTTGTACTAGTTTACATTCACACCTACATGGTAGAAGGGTTCCTTTTTCTCCACAACTTTGCCAGAATTTGTTTTATGCATTCTTAATAACAGCCATTCTTATTGGAGTAAGGTAAAATCGTGTGCTTTTTATTTGCATTTCTGTAATAGCCAAAATTGCTGAATGTTTTTTCATGTATTTATTGATCATTTGTACTTCTTCTGCAAAGTGTCTGTTCAGTTGCCAATTTTTTTACTGAATCTTTTATTTTAGGGGGTCTATTTTTTTAATTTTTCATATATTCTAGTTCTTAATCTCCTGTCCAAGGAATAGCTGGCAAAATTTTTTTTCCCATTCTGTGGGTTGTCTCTTCACTCTGTTGACTGTTTCCTTTGCTGTGCAGAAGCTTTTTAATTTTATGTGATTCCATTTATTTTTTGTGTTTTTTTTACTGAGGTTTGCAGGTTGATTATAGTAGAAACATTTTGTTGCTAGAATGGAGACCTTTGTAGTTAGTGTCTGCTTTTCACTGATGCACTCTGGGAGTGGCTAACTATAGATTTTTGCCTCTGTCTCAAGATCTAACCACCTCTGTTAATTTGAGAGGGGAGGGTGCAGTGTAATTAGCCTAGCACCCAGTTCTCTAGGAATGGGCCACACCATTGTTAATGACACAAAGGCAATCCAGATATTGACATAGAGAGAAAACCAATTAATAGCAACAATTATGCCACTCTGGTAATAGGAATCAAATCAGCAACAATAATAGCATCAAATGCAAACTGGATATTGACATATCCTAAAACCAATAATGTAACACTTTTAATCATAGAAAAAAGATCTCTAATTATAGTATGAACACTGAGACAAATGAAATATTGACATACAATAAATATGTACTGAATGCACCAACTATAGTTTCATAAGCAATAGAAAACTATTCAACATAAATGGCATAGAGTTAACTACCTAAAAATAAATAAAGCTAATGGCTATCCTAGTAAAGATAAGAGGGGGCAGGAAATGAGAGAATTAAAAAAGTAAAATTTGAAAATTTAATCAATGAAAGATGAGAAAGAGGAGAGAAAACTTGGCTAAAGGATCCTATTAAGGAGTAAAAAATTAATAGAATTAGATAAGAGTAACAGAAAAGAAACAAGAACAAAATTTTAAAAAGAAAAAGAAGGAAAAAATTAAAAGGAGGAAAAAAGGAAAAAAGGGGGGGAAAACCCAAACTCCAAATAACCAATGACAATAAGAGAAAAAAAAATTCAGTCAAAAATTTTTTTTCTCTGTGTTTTTGAATGAGTGGTTTCTTTCCAGGATCTGCAGTCTTGGAATTCAGCAAGTCACATTTTTCTCCATCTGCCTTTTTATGGCTTGTGGGTTTGTGAGGTGTGCCCCCTGCTCCAGAGGCCCCTCTGTCCACACACCCCACACTGAGGCAACTGTCGAAGCTAAGGTGTGTTCTTGCTCACATTAGTGTATCAGTCAGACCACTTGTTTCTGCTGGATGTAAGTAGTCGGGTAAAGCTTCAAGCAGTCTCCTAGACCATATCCTTTCCAGCCTGAGGTTAAACTCTTCAGAGGTCTATTTCTAGCCTGTACTTTCTCTGTGGCTGTCTCTTACCCTGTCACTGTGGTAAAGTAATGCTGGAAACCCTGAAGTTGTTCTATGATTCACTCTTAAACAATTAACCCCTTCCCAGAATGGCTCCTGATTAAACCCTCTGCAATATGGTAGGCACTGCACTGTTTTCTCCAACTCTATCCTGCCCTGAAGGAACCACTTTTGGAGTAAAACCCTGTGCCATTTTTGTAGTTTATGATAGCCATGGGCTTTTCTTGAGGCTAGTGCTGCTGGCCTGTCTTATTTCTCCCTGGACCTGCTGACCCTCCAGCTTACCTTCTCTCCCTGGACGCTGGCCTCATCCTCTATCTAGTCAAGTCCATTGGTTGGTGCCTCTGCTGCCCTGTGCCAAGAAGAAACAAAATGCAGAGCGGGCTTGGAGTAGCTGGGTGGCCACAGCCAGGGTGTGGACTCTACAGGTGGGGAGATAGCCTGGGAGCTAATACAGCTTTCACCTTAGGTGGTGGCTTCTGTCCACAGTCTGAATTTCTTTATATTCTTTTTGTTGTGGAGTTTTTATTTCTCCATCAATCTTTAAGGATAATTTTGCAGGATATACTAATCTGAATTGGCAGTTTTTTGGTTTTCTTTTTTAAGGGCTTGAAAAACTTCACACTCTCCTAGCCTTTAAGGTTTGTGTTGCAAAACCTGATAGGCTTGCCTTTATAAGTTAATTGACATTTTTTTCTAATGGCGTTTAGTATTCTTTGTTCTGGATTTCTGGGATTTTGACTATGATGTCTTGTGGAAAGCTTCTTTTCTGATCATGTCTATTTGGAGTTCTAAACACTTAACTTATCCTGGGTATCCATTTTAGTTTCTAGATTTGGAAAGTTTTCTGCAATGATTTTGGCAAATAAGTTTTTTTATACCTTTAGTTTTGTTCTTTAGCTTTTCCTTTATTCCTGTAGTTCTTAGGTTAGTTGTTTTAGTAATCTAGGAGCTCTTGAACCAAACTTTCATATTTTCTTGTTGTTTTTGTAGTGTCAGAGTCTCTTTTCAGCCTATGGATTCAGTGGCGTTTAGGGCTCAGCATGTCTTTCTGCATGGAATTTAGTACTATTTGAGGATGACAGGAGAGAGCTCACCCAGGTGCAGAGCCTGGTGGCATTTGGGGGACAATGGGAGAGTGCCTGCTCCCACACTGTTACAGTGTCTTCTCCACCCTGATTTCACCAGTCACAGATCGCTGTTAGCAAGCCCTTGTGGTTCTGTCTCACAGATCCCTCAGGGGTTCCAGATCCCCAGCCAGAAACTTGTCCTTTGTTCCTCTTTGTCCTGTGGGCTCTGTTAGGCTCCCTGGTGCTAACTCAGTCATTTCCCTCAGTGCTTCTCTGACTTGAACTTTCCTTCATGCCTTGGTCTGAGGAGGCCACCTCCCAGTGGGAGGAGAGTTGGGACAGGTGGGCACTGGGCACTGGCGGCTGGGCTGACAGCCACTGTTGTGCTTGGCTTCTTGGCAGAGAGAAGGGGGCTGAAACTTTCCATGACAATTTGTTCCTTGGACATGGGCTATAAGCAGTGCAGGGATGGAGAAGCAGCCTTGCTTCTTATTCTAAACAGCCCTGCTATTGGATGTCATCTGATGGGCTTCTGTGGACCTTTGTGAGAATCTTCTGAGCATCTGATGAGTGCTGCTGCTTCTAGCTTGCCATAATCCTTGTTTTCTGTTATAATTAATTTAATATAAATGTAGCCAGTGGCTATCATACTGCACAGCAATGTCTCAACTGTAAACAAATCTATATAACAGCTGTTGCATTCTTAAATGTTCAGTGAAATACTCTGCATCATATTTTTCAAAGCTATTAAGTTACTTTAAGATAAAACTCCCCTTAAGTTGTAGTTGTTAGCACATTTGGTTTGTAGTAACTTCTAAACCAATGACCATTTTAAAAGTAATAGTAGGCCTGGTGTAGTGATGCATGCTTATAATCTCAGCACACTGGGAGGCAGAAGCAGGAGGATCACAAGTTCAAGCCCAGCTTAGGCAACTTAGCAATTTAGAGAGAACATGTTTCAAAATTTAAAAATTTTTTTTTTTTAGTACCCAGGATTGAACTCAAAAACTTGCGCTTGCAAGGCAGGCACGTTACCACTGAGCTAAGTCCCTGGCCCACAAAAAATAATTTTCTAAAGGGCTCAGTGCAAAGGCCATGGGTTCAATCCCCAACAACCTCCCCAGCATACACACAAAAGATACTAATGATCTTATATGGGCTTTCAGGGAGAAACGTCTTCAAAGTCCAGCCATTGAAAATAAAAGAAGATCACACATTTTTGTGGACAAACTCAACGTCAAAGGATCACCTGTGAAAATCAACAAAAAATAAATTGTCATGCATTTGATAAGTTTGGGTTGTTTTAACAGAGAAAGTAATGGTGCTGGGTGTTATATACATAAGACCAATCTCCTGTTGTTAAATCAGTACTGTACTTTGCAACTTTCTTCTGTTATCTGAATGTTGTTGGAAGTTCTAGCTTTGTATTCTTCCTACTTTAGGAATAAAACTTTGATTTTCAATGTGATTAAATTGTTGAACATTCTTAAAACTCTTTAAGCCGTACCAGTTTTTAAAGCCCATATCCTGATTTTGCTTTCCAAATTACTTTAGTGTTGGCTGTATTCTTGTACACTTATCAAGACTGATTATAGCGCTGTTTCTATCATTTATAGTTATGGGAAAGTAAAATCTTAAAAATGGATCCAGTTTTCACCAACACTGTGCAAGAATGATATGAGCTGCAATGCGTGGCACACACCTACCACCCTAAGCCCTTCAGAAGGCAAGGCAGAGGGAGCACAAATTCAAGGCCAGCTTAGGCTATGCACAGAGACCTTGTTTCAGGAAAAACAAAGCAAACAAACAAAATTTAAAAATTATTCTACAGTGATGTTCATAAAGGTTTAGTTTGTGTCAGATTTTATACTGTGTTATATAGCCAACTAGATTGAAGTTTAAAAAAATATACCAAAGCTAATACTAGTAGTTATATAAGAGATTAGTAGTTATTTTGATAAAGTTAATAATCACATAGTTCATTTTTAAAGAAAGTTTAAATTTGCTAATGTACACAAATTTTCTTGTTATACTTCTTTATACACTATATTCTTTTTTTGTTTTATATTACATTCTTAACATTCAAAATAATTTATATTCACTTTTCTCTTTAAATTCTTAAAGTAGCATATTTCTGCTCTTTCCCACAAACAAGTTTAATTTACTCCAAGGTTAACATTTTGAAGTTGGAGAGTCCTTGGAGGAACTCTGCTTCACCCTTTTTTGACATTTAGAAAAAATGCATTTGTTAATGTGAAGACTGGAATGATAGATGATCTCAAAATATGTTAGGTTATGTGTGTTTTTTAACAAAGTGCTTAATAATTCAATTGTTCCTCTTTTAGTTGTACAAGTTAAAAATTCAACCTAGCTTTTTTACTCACAAATTCACACATTAATCTATTTTTATAAAGGCTAGGGAAGAAATTTCTAAGAATAAAAAATCCGAACTCTTACATCTGTTGCTTAAGACCAAAAAAAAAAAAAATCCACTATCATGCAGTCATTCTAAGTATTTTTCATTGTAAGTTAGAAGTAAAATTATGTGATTGTGGTCATAACTCCTCTAATTTCCTATATTCTGTGCCAGATAATTTTCCTTGTGCCTTTAATTAGTCACTAAAATAAGATGCAAATGTGTTAATTCATTTTATAAGTGAAATTAATTGACATGTATTAGTTAAAATAGTCCTCTTATCCATAGATTTGTATGCTAGCAACATTTTATACTATATTGGGAAGTTTTCATAAGGTATAAGTTTTAAATAACACTTTTTCATAAATTTATTTGATAGAGCAAAATATCAATAGATACTATATTCTCCTTTTGTCTAAATAATTAACACTGATAACTTGAATCATTATATTCAAATCCAAAGTCATACTTTGGTAAATTATTGTATTTTGTATAACTCCTTTACATCAAATAACATTCAGAGAATTATTAGATACTTTTTTCACACAATTTATCATGAAAATTAAATTGAAATAAATTTAATCAATTTGAAAAATTGAAATATATATTTCTTCTTATGCCAAGATGCTTTCTTAGTGGCCATTTACAAAATATGTGACATATACAGATTAAATATCACACAGTGCCCGGGTCTGGTGGCTCACTCCTATAATCCCAGCACTTGGGAGGCTGAGGCAGGAGGACTGCCAGGAGTTCAAAGCCAGCCTATATAAGGAGACACTATCTCAACAAAAAACAACAACAACAAAAAATCAGTTGGTACCCCGCATGTGGCCTCAGAAATATATATATATAATTTTTTCAGTGATTCTACTTAGGCCCTACAATGGCAAAACTATGGGAAATTGTTCGTGAAGATAAAGATAAATTCTTTTTTTAAAAATTCTTTTATTGGTACATTTTAGGTATACAACACATTTACATTTCTCATTGGGAACTTGTACCTTTACATGATTCATCTGGGTTCTTATTTTTTCCCCATTCCCTCCACTCCCTTCACCCTTCCACCCTTCCCTATTTACAAAGACTTTGTTTCCATTTTTTCCATTTCTCATCATTTTTCCTTTCCCTTCTTTCCTTTCCCCTGCCCCTCCCACTACCC